CCAGTGGATAGCAGTTTTCACATAGCTCCGCTACCTTGTGGGTCAGGCCTTGGCTGGCCAAAAACTCCGGTTGTGGAATCCTCAATTAAATTCACCTACCTTGATCTGGGCAACTTGACAGTATTCGGCCCACATGCAAATCGTGGAACGTTTTTCTTTTCACAAAGATTATTGTACCAAGAACATCAAGAGTCCCTGGTACTTCTGAACGATCGAATGGGACAATCCAAGCTTGATACTGGAAACTGATTGAGCCATTCACACAAGGCGATGACCGTCAACCGTATAGCTCAGGGGTATGGGTTTGAATTCGTAACCCGGTTTGAGTCCTGACAGCGACACAAAGTGCACGCACTGCTGACGAGTTGCAAACAGGATGAAACAGTTGTCCAGTGCTCTTTGTCGGTTATCACAAACATTTCCATCACATTTAAATGCACACAAACAGTGGGGAATTAGCGATCTCCCAAGGAGTGAAACCCACACCAAAGACCATCAAGAGTGCCTGGTGCCTGTGAACAATCGAATGGGCTAATCCAAGCTTGCTGCTCTAAATTATTGAACCATGATTTGTTTGGCCTAAGGGGAGTATGAAAACTATAAATGTATACCACATCATACGCAACATTTCTGTAATATTATCCACGTTTATTTTTGCCTCTATTTTTAGAATGCGATGTGTACGATTTTTTCGATTTTGATAATGGTTTGTTGGTGCATCAGGAGTAAGATAGCAAAGTATCGATAACGAATATATTTAGAATGTAATTATAATAATGATTATACCTCAAGTTCAAATTTTGAAGGTCATTTTTTATGGTTTCAGAGTACGTTTCTAGTTTCTTCAGATTTGGATATTTTGCGTGACTAGTGTGCAATTAATAAAAATGAGAAATTTTTTATTGATCTATCTATATACTTTGAACGGAATGAAAAATTATAAGCTATTTAGAATACGTCTAATGACTAGAATAGGCACTCTCTTGAAACAGCAATCATTCATTTGCAAGAATCACCTGGCATGCTGTTTGGCATGAAATAATTTTCATTCTAAACTGTAACTTTCGAAGTTCGACAGAATTTATTGCGCAAATCACGGTTGCGCAAATTCAAACGTTGATACAAGAGAACTAAGAATTTTTAGTGGAAAACAAAGTTCGGAATACGTGCTGTTCACCCGTAGCTATCGATATACATGTCTGATATCAGGAACTGCAATGTATTTGCAAAATGAGAGTCATGCTGCACAATTTGTTCAATACCTGTATATGTTGGTCTCAATCGGCGACAGTTCGATAATTTTACCTCAGTTTTGTTATGCATTTTATGGCGTAAATTGCTAATACAACACAAAGTCGGCAGAGTTTGCACATTTTACCCAATGAAGCATTGTCGCAAATTTTGAGAAAAACAATGTTTTTCATTTCTTTTCACTCAGTAGTTACGTAATACAGCACAATTAAATCGAAAATACTATATTGGTGACTGTGAACGGTAATAGGCGTCACTTTAAGCATGCCGCTGGTGTGGCGAGATATTACTTCCTTCACTAGTCAGTAGTGTATTTGAGGCGCGTTATAGGGACAGTCAGTGACTCTCACAATAGGCACCGATGAATACGACTACTCGATAGATTGACCTCGCCTGTTCCCTTGTTAATGTTAGATGGGAAGATGAGTGTGATGGCTTCAGGGCTCTAGTTTGTGATAGTTTCTAATTCGTAATGGACAATTTTGAATTTTGGTAATTCGTCAAATTCAGTAGAGCATTACCGTTAACCAATCACCATTCCATTTCACTCCACCCCAACACCCAAGGCCACATCTGAATTCAATCACAGCTTGACTCATAGGAATGTGATGAACAATGGAGGTGTAACTACCGTTCCGTAGCATTCCATGATATTCCTATTAAGGTGAATAATACGATATAGGGCAAATAACTCAACGTTGAATATTTTGCTAAGTTTTGCACACCTTGTCTGACGCGATATGCATTTTGAAAAGTCATGCTCCCTCAACTCATTGCCTCGTATCGAGGAAGATCTTTGAGTGAAATTAGTAGCACAACCGTTTACGTCCGACCACAGCGCTGGGCGATCGGTACACGGGAGCTTTTTTACCTGGGACATTTTCCGCGGTACGGAAATGTCGCTTTGGATGATGGTTGAACATTTGCAGTCAACGTACCTTGTTCGGTGGATTCGATCAATCCGGGCGAGAATTAGATTAAAACACGGAAAATGTTTGCTGTTTGGGGGGATTCGGTTTAACAGAAATGTCCCAGGGATCGATCACAAACGGCTGTACATTACTGACGATATATCATTATCAAGTTTGGCATGATATATATCTAGGGGGATTCATTATAAAAGCTGACAGTATTATGTAACATTGTAATAAGCGAGCATATCACCGAATAAACGTCTCTGTGGGTGCAATCTCCCGGCGGTGTGAGGTACTACTCACATTTGTGAGTAGTATGCAAAATAGTGTGGTTGGTAGTTTTCTTCAACAATCAGGAATTAACAAGACTATCGAGAGCAAATTGCTTTGCCTCAAAGAATAACTACCGACTGCTCCATTCATTACCCTGGGAAGTGTGATGATATGTTTCAACTGAGATTTCTGTTATATATATGCTAAATTAGTGGTAACCTCACTGAAATCTGCAGTACACAACTTCCCTCGACCGAGCACCGTTTCATGTAATTATTACACTGGTTACTGAAGCGGTTAGTGTTGTAAAACTGATTGCCTCGATGAGCTTGAATTAACGTTGACAGCACGAGAAAACGGAATTGTCTGAATCATATTCAGAGCACTCCTTAATAGTTAAAACGATATCCAACTCCAGCAGTAGGGGGCAGTTCAGTTCAATTCACCTTCTAATTGTTGTTTTTCGGTCGCTGGTTCGACTGACGAAAGGAGAATTGAGACGAATAAGTGCAAACGCGTAGAGGAGTATCGTAATCAAGATGCCTAATGTGAATAAAGTGTACGTGCAGGTGTGAACGTGTATCCCTGTTCTATCACCTAGTGTTTAACTCCGGACCGAGCTGGTCCTGAGATCCACGATCGGGAAACCTACCGCTGTTCTCACGGTCATCCTGACCGAGTTGTCGTGTGCACGAATTCGACTGTCAGCACCGCTAACTTTGGCTATTTTACAATAGCCCTCGACAGTACCCGATCAGTCCTAGTTTCTATTCATGAACTTTATTATAACTGGACAAATTGGGCGAAGGAGGCTGATTGTTGCTCATTAAAATTTCATCGATTTACTATCTTCGACGAAACGGATCTCGATGTGGCCAAATGCGCAGCCACAACTCTTTAGTATCCTCCAATGTGTAACAAAAGAGAAAACAAATCACCTCTGTGGTTTTTGATCGATTAGTTCGCAGAATGAATGAATATTCCATTTCGCCTGGAATTCAGTTCACCCGAGCTAAGAGAACCGATTTTCAATAATTTGTTAACACGAATGAGTATGTTCTGGAGACGTCCACTATCCCTCCCCGCATAGTCTAAAGATCATTTTATTGTGTTTCACTATCCAGGCATGAAATCCATGAATGAATAGAGTTGGTGGTGAATAGCTGCTTGAGCGACCCGGACTTTTGTTTCTTCCGTGAGGAGAGAGTCTCATTGAGATGAATTCGCCAATACGAGATNAAAGGAAATGTGTCAACACTGAGGTGTTTTTTTCATTCCAATCTGTAACTGAATTGTTCCTATTCCCTTTTAGGGAAAACGAATATATTTCCAAGAGATATCTGTACAGATAGGTATAGCTGCTTAATGACATAAATCACTATCTCAGGATAAGAACCAGCCATTCAGTTGAGTTTTGTCAATCTTGTACGCGACTCTTACGAATGTACAGCACAGAACCAATAACAATTCCGTTCAGGAGCATGGAATGAAACGGTTTACCTTTTCATCAGATCCTTCGTCGGCTGCAGAAAAGAGTTGAACTAAGTGAATGGCAATATTTGAGTGAGTAACTTTGGGAGATTGCAAGTACATTTCTTCGGAATACTTTTTTCTAGAACTATTTAAACACTCATTTTGCGACATCTTCGGCAACCTATTAGCCAATCACACGGTTAAAGTTTTATGAACATGAGTAAATGTTTTGGAAAAGCCATATCAAATACCAGACGCGTATGTGAACGAGTGATAATTTCGCTGTGCCTTGGCGCACCCAAATGAAATCAATGAATCATCGCGTGACTAGTAGGTCAGCGGTTTCGAAAGCATACAAAAGTCCCGAGCTCACTACCACATCAATACATCTTGGAGTTGGTCAATCGCTGAACGTTTGATGTCACATGACCGGAGGTGTCATTCGCGTACGGCAGCTTCGAACCACTAGGTTTTACAAATCTAATGTGCTATAAATGTGCGTGTTTGTTTTACGTCAGCGATTGAGAAGATCAAAAGAAATGTTAACATCTCGCGAGATATGTCTTCTTTCGGTCTTAATACGATGGATAAAGAGGACCCAGTGTTTTAAATAACTAAAGTGAAATTCCGCCAGGCAGTATCCACATCCAATAGGAGATATTCAATCTGGTTTGATAGAACAATTCAGGTTTGTGAGTTTGTGTAACTTGTTCGTCAGAAATCAGTCGATGTAGGTGACGTTGTTGTTGTTGTCGTTGACGATGATGATAATGATGGTGGTAGTAATGATGATAGTGAATGCTAAGCACACAAAAGTTTAAGACTGTGATCCAAATGGTCAAAATACAGAAATGATAATAATGAAAATGATGATTTTCACTTCAGCCATCGGTAACTTCCGGTTAGGAACTTGATATTTTAGTGTGGACGTTTCATTTGTCACGTAAAAGTTATTCTGTTTCACTTGTATTCTGTGCTACGAGAGAGTACGCAACAACCTATATGGTCACATAGTACTGATTCCGACAAGTACAAAGCTGAATTAGGTGATAGGTTGGTAGAGAGAATTTATTTATGGAGACAAAAGGTTTATTCGTGGTTCATGAGATTCACGCTGATTCCTGCTCCAGATTCGGAACCAACGGTATCCTCGTCTGCAAAACAGGAGAATTGCACTGTGTTTTACCCGATGAGAAACCTTCATTTTACAGAAAATACGGTTGGTATTGGAGGGTCAAAACCCATTCAAAAGATAGTTTATGCAATACCTACACATGCCAATTGAGTGCGACCGTTAGATATATTGGAAATGAACAACAAGTGAGGGTCCGAGCACAAAATATTTACACCGGAAGGAATTTATTTATTGCATTGAGAAACAAACCATCTCAAAAGACAAATGTAAAAGGACAATGATGTAACCTTACACGTTATGTTCATATCTCAAAACTGATTGAGAATTAGCTTTTTATGGAAGTTGCATTAACGATCAGAATGATAATACTGTAAGTTTTCTCATTATACATATATATATATATATCGTAAAGTGCTTCTCGTGAGGGCATGATGATCACCTCATGGCTGAACATTTTAATCGATTATCGTGTAAATAAAGGACTTTTTGAGTCTGTCAAACAAACACTTTGATTTATTTGTGCATTTGTTGAACAGTTGGAGCACAGACAAAATATCCTATCAGTTTCATGATGCAATACACACGCGACCGATGACAGCGTGCGAGAGGAATTCCCGTGAAATTGTTCATCTTTCAAAGTGCCGGTTCTAAGATAGCGGTTCATCTTGTTCGTAGCATTTCAACAATTTCAACAGATGTGTCTGGTATGTTCCAATGTTCAAATGAATAGGTTGCTCTTCAAACGAACACAAACACGATGGACGTTGTAGAACATCACGTTGTTTTACATTCTTCAACGGTTCAATCGTGAATCTTCTTAATTTGACCGTCAGAACTTCGATGTTTTGAAAGTGATAATTTTAACGCACTCCCTAAATGCCAGTCAATCATACCTTACAGGATCAGGTGGATAGATAAAGTACGTAAGTTGTGTCCTTTCGTGTGTGTGTGTGTGCTAGTTATATTTCCCAGGGATTATCCCGTTCAGCGTTGCTAATATTGATGTGCTGAACAGAAGTCTCTGCCATCGGCAGGTGGATTTATTTGATACGTTCGTGATTTTGGTTAGCACATGTTAGTTATTTCGACAGGTACAACGAAAATCAACATTCATTTCGCAAACCTCTGTGTAACGAATACTTGTTACGCGGGTCCCTGGGGTCACGATGATTTGGCAGTATATCTGCCTGAAAACAAGCAACCTCATCAGGGAGGCGTGAATAGACAAAAGAAACCACCTATTGATGGAAACAATTTACAACGCGTTGTGTTATATCGCCATCCATATGTGAGGTGTCCCTGTCGGAGAGAAAGCATTTTCAATGATAGAACTACCTGCTTCGCCACATGAGCTAGATGTATGATTGCTACATCAGATGCATCCGGATACATGCCCGTGCAGTTGAAGTCACATCTCAATGTTTACCTTCTGCTACCCAGTTGAGATTAGTATTTTAAAACAAGTGATTGCCGTTAGCGACTTTTTCTAAGTTGACTTAAGCTTCGTTTACTAACGGAGTTGGTCACTTCTATTTCTATGGCGACTGTGAAACGTTCAGTAGCCTCAATGGGATTCGAACCCACGCATGGACGCCGCCTACGCTTTGTACGCGCATGTACTACCAGATGAGCTACGAGGCCACATCGATAGCACTGATCTTTTTACATTCTAATTACCCATCCAACTTACAGAGGCATATGGCGTGGGTTCAAATCCCACCGAGGCTACTGAACTTTTCACAATCGCCATAGAAACTTCAAATCTGCCAAACATCCATTTGCATTTCTTTTATTATCAAAGATGAAGATAGACAGTGGGTTTGTCGAAATGTTTTGTTCAATAAGTTATGTAAAACCATTTTGCTTTTGTATAGCAAATGTGGAGAAACCCATGATTCAACTAAATTGTCTGTGCATATATATTGGAAAGCTAAAAGAAAACGTTGCTAGCTCGTCCCAAAGAAATCGGCTAACTAGTTTAAAAACAGCTTTACAGATTTATGAAGATTTGTATCCGTAAAAAGGGTTTCCTTTTAAAATCTGTTCACATATCCAGAAGCAAGACCACTAATCAGTTGAAAAGATGATTTGGCTAGACAAATTTCCTTACAGGATTCTCACAGATCCTTACCAACCATTGCACGCAGAACTGACACGTTTTCGCTCATATCATTCAACACGCTCTCAAATCAAAGTTCATTTCGAATTTACGCTTACCGCAATACATCTATACCTGTATCTTGCTCGTCTACTCATAAAGAAAGAGCAGACAATAGACGAACTTTATCTTAACCTTCGATTATGAAATGTTCTCACGTCTGTACAACTTTTCTCACAGTTTATTATGTACATTATGACGGTTAGCTTGTATTATTTTTTAAATGAAATGTGCCATCCAGTAGTTGCAAAAGTTATACACGATACAATACAATACAAAAATAAAACACGAACGAGCTTTTCCGCTCATCATAGTTGTAGTGGATATGCGTTGGGAAAAAATATCAAGACGATGTCGAGGAGCAAATAAAAAAATAAACAAACCACTGAACTGTTCAAATGTACGTGGAGCAGGCAAATCGAAGCACACTTGCTGTCCTAGACCATGAACCCAGTCACGGCCACTGTCACATCATGCTGACGTCAGCAGCTAGAGCCTAACGATCCCAGGGGAAAATCGATGAAATTCCAAGGTTACTTCTCTCTTATTTGTTATATATTACTTTCACCATCCCACTTTTCCAAACTCTGAATAAAATAATCGAACATGCTATTCCGCAATGCGATACCACAAATAAGCATGTAATTACACAAATAAGCTTCTTTGAACACCGACAGTTTTTTGATGATACATATTTGTCGTTCTGATCATTCAAACAATTTCCCGCAAAACCCTATACACTTTATTTCATCGGTGTCAAATTCAACAGATTCCACTGATTTTTCACTATTTGCGATGGTTTATATGGTCACCGAGACCACCGTCAGGTGATCTCAGATGGAGACTATCTTGAGCGCATTATTTGGTTGGATTTGACTGGAATTCTTCAAATCATCATTGTATGGTTGACAGTGTATCAACTTTACCTCCTCAGCCAGTTGAAACGCATAATGGTGCCACGTGACCGTGTCTCTTGTCCCTTTGCTTGCTTACTTGTCCCATGATTACGGTTTATTTCTCGCCTAACCCAACTGATTGATACCATGCCAACAAAACGATGCTTGAGATTTAGTAATTTCACATTCGCCTCCAATCCAGTGACACTCCAAGACATGGATGCGCACAATAACGCAAAAAAGCATACCTCTAAGCTTCATTTCGTCCAGAAGGAATTTGGATGTGTCGTCGTCATCCGCTATGTCATAGGGAATACTGCCATCCACATTTGTGGCAAGAATGTCCGCGTTACTAAACAGAGGAAAGAATCGAGGGGTGAAGGATAAGGAGCGAAAAACGAGTTCCTAACTGGCTATCAAGTGATCGATGTCAATTTAAAAATGTAACTACAAACTATATACCATCCTTGGATTAAACACGACTTGTTTATGAGGCATCATGAACAAAACGGAGACAAAAATCAAGACAATATATTTGTTACGTTTACCACATCTAGTAAACAAAATGTACACTAAAACATGAACCATTGAGTTCTCATTTTCGTTCCCTGAGTTGGTACAACAGTTCTAACAACAAATACGAAGCGGCGTTTCAAATATATCACAAGCAAATGTTTTTGGTTACTGACAAACTGAATAATCCCTAGACACTTTTCCACAAATCTGTGATTTTTCCAATGATTTTCTAAAATCTCTGTTTATTTCCTAGAGTTCACATTTCTGATCTTCTCCTTGTAAACTTTAAAATGGCATAGATAGGTAATACCTCGAGGACATTCCTCAGAGCACCTTCTGGAGAATCGAACATGTTACTCAGTGTTTCTGTCTTCAATCAACTTTTCGTACAAATCAAACGATGATATCTTTTCTTGTGACCTAATCCAGTTTACAATGCTACGGGAACTCTCCTAAATGTATCCCGGGACTAGGAAAAAAAATTCAACCGAATCCATCACGAAATAACTGGTATAAGCCCGCAGTGGCACCATTTGATTGCTTGGTCGAAGTGAGATTTATTTCAAATCTGGCAGTTTTATTGCTGACAAAAGTCCTTTTGACCCAATTCATCTTCTGCATGCTTATCTCTGGTAAAGTTATTCTCACTCATCTTCTCGGTTAGCTCATTGTTGTCTGCTTTGCGAGGAATGATCACAGAAGAAAATAATCATTATTTTTTCCCAAGCTGACCTAAAGGGTACCATCGACAAATGTGATGTTATGCGGGGGTTTTCAGCAAACCTCGATTCAGATAATAATCCCTCTATGTGTTAGTTTTTGTATTTGTTTTCTTTCGGAAAAATCTGTACATGCATGAGCATATCAGTGAAAGTGCAAATAATAGGAAATAATAATATTGATAATAACAAGCGGTGCAATCGTTTGGAGAGTGAATGAGAGTGCAAAAGATAAGCGCGATTATCACATGAAAACGTGCTAGTTTCATTTCGGTTCTTGGGTTTGATCGGTTCTTGCCGGTAAAAAACACATCCCTACATTTCGCATGAGTTCACTGTAGTTCATACTAATTAATTCTCGTTGGTCGTTTCATAAAAATGCATCCGTCAGTATCATATTGATGATGAGTTGAACTTGCATTAGAACGCAAATCTATCATTATGCTGTATGTTTTGAATTGAACAGATAGGTTGGTAGTCATACCACTGTTGCTCGAGATTACCTTTCCCTTCAATCCCTTTCAGTGAACAGATGATTCTTTTTACTGAGGAGTGATGTAATGAACTATGGCCACCTTATCGTTATCAACGAAGAACAGCTATCCAGAATGTGCTTCATAAAACACCTTCGAGTCACCATTTCCCTTGATCCTTTTGGTTTCCTTATACTGCTGAGACGAAACCTAAAGTCGTCAATCTCGTGTTCACGTGATCCGTTTAAAAGTGTTATTCACCCTGATCCATTTGATAAAATCTTTGTCTCATTTTTGTATCCATACCCACTGGTTTTATGGATCCACGCTTATCTTTCCTGTAAAAGACCTCAAACAAATGCCCAGATTTATCAAAAAAGCATGGCGATAAAGTGACACATCTCACGAACGTAATGTGCATTTTTTAATTTCACAGCCGTTTAATGCTTATTAGAAACTTTCTGCAAGATATGTCTAGAACCACATTATGCTCCTTACTCACGTTTCAGGAAATGTAGCTCTACATCTACTACTGGCTCTAAGTATAGACCCACAGCAGCAAGCACCATAACGTATTTATCTGCGGTAATACTATGCCTCGCATGGTTTCTCACTAACACCGATGTTGTCATTGAAATCCCTTACCAAATTTACTTGATCATCTATGTATGCTTCCTGTTTCAATCTTCCCATGTTTACCACAGAAGAGTGATTACGTAGCACCTGAATATTCATCCCCCATTGGTCAAGTTTTAACGATTTTCGGACTTGACTGTTTAAAATATTTCAATATTTTTAAAGACGATTCGTAACAGCGGTCACTGGGGTTTGAAAAAGTTTAATAAATTATAGAAATTTTATCATGGGATATATCTGTTGACAAAGAACACACGATGTCGGTCTACATTGTGTATCGGAATACTAGACTGAAAGATTCTTGAATACCCGACCACCATTCAAACCGTTTTGGAGAAATTACCAGTGCAATGAGTTGACTTAGGGATTGTTTTTGAAGAATGTGATTCATATGATAAGTATTTGTACACATTTTGAAAGATTTGATATCCGGTGGTGTGTTATTTCTATTACATTAAATTTTTGACATCTGGACACAGAACACATTCCACAAAGTTTCAAAATATCGCATTCTAGGTGTATCCGAGCTTCATAATCAAACATCTACAAGACACGAATCAATCCACCCCCCACCCTCGGATCGTATTCCGCGCTGCAGAATCAGACAAATGCGAGGCCTGAGCAACAAGTCTCCGAATACACAAACAGATTTATTTGTTACACAAAAATAATCATTGAATTTTCTTGAAGCATTCATGCACAGTTCCATGCGCTGAAACTATTTGGTGAAAGAGCTCGACACCCATCTGATGTCCTTCGAAAATTCACAACTGAGACATTTCATCCACAAAAAACTTGAAACCACAAACCGTTACAAAGTTGGATGACTGAAGATAAACTTGCTCTTACCCAGATCGTGCAGTTAGTACATGAGTCTGTCTAAGTTAAACCTTTCGCATCACTGGATAGTACACCTTTCCATCAGGAAGTTCATATGTGAATTCTGACCATTTATAATCATTTGGCAAATTCTTACACATGGTGCTGATTTCATACTCTTGGATCGTAAGTTTAGTGCATTTTGTAACAGTTGCTATGCGCGTCCCACACTAACCGACTTGTGACGATCAGTGTAACTTCAACGCAACTGTTACTGGATTTGAAGCAGCACATAAGGGCTCTCTCGTGCTCTACCCAGAGATTTCACATAGAATTCCGCGTTTTTTCCTGGAGTTTTATTGTCGAGGAGAGATTACAAGGTTACATACAACTCATGATAATCGATGATAATCGCAGCTGAGAATCGATCCATTAAGATGAATAAAGCGATTTTCCACTTGACTTGACTGTTTTATTTTCGAGGTAGCTTGAAGGTGTTGGTTACCACACATTTGGTGTCGAGTGTTTTCTCTTTTTCTCAGACCCGGTGTCATTATTCCGCTTCCAAAAGAACGATGGGTCTATGAACTCAATACATGCACAATACATACGCAATACTTGTATAACCATGATCATAGTTGTTTGTTTAATCTTCTCAATCGCTTACTGAAAATAGACAAGCACATGCATAAAACATCTAGGATTGATGAACAAGCACGCAAAGATGGGTTGTGCTAAATCGTGTAAACGGAAAATGAAAAACGGTCTGATCAGCTACCCCGGGGTGGCCGAGTGGGTAGCATGCTTGCATTCTGCCTGTAAGGTTCTGGGTTCGCGACCCCCAGTTGGATCGATGGATTCGCACTACTGATGAAACCCCACCAGGTCGAAACAGCTTCCTAGCTTTTCATTTTAAGCTTCATTTGCTTTTTAAACGACAAATTTCCCCCTTGAAATATGGTGAAAGAACGTGTAGAAGCGAACAAAGATTACTAATTATAGAAGCAAAAGGTCAACTGCACGGCAAAAGGATTGGTTGTATCAAAAATGTGTATCCGCGTAAAGTCAGACGATGTAATCTAATGAGCAACGTTCCACCGATTGCCGAAAGTTTAGCATTGTGATTACGTAGTTGATGAACTCAGTGTGCCATATATGTGCCTGTTTGTTTCAAGTCAACGATTGAGGAGATTCAACGAAATGTTAACGTTTCGCGATATGTCTTCTTTTCGTATTGATGAATTGTTTCAAATGTAGAGTTCATCTGCTTGTTTCGTTTTTATTGCTTACGGTAACTCCGATCCTCGGTTATTTCAGTAACTTATAAGTTGAACTCGATTGCGTTCTTTCCCTCGAGGAAAGGCCTTCATTTTGAACTTGGAGTTGCAAGAAATCTGATCGTTCGACGGACGACATTTTTCTGTTCAACCAGTCTCTTTACTGTTTTCGGTCTTAAGTGTGCCCCCGTGTTTCATTCTGATCACTCTGCCGTTTGGCATGCAATTGCAGGAAAAGGAGGACTTTGCTAGAGTTAATTGCTCCAATTCTCAAGCCTCTGAGCCCTTTGAGCAGAACAAAACGATACTCGTTGGAAACCATTTACCATAATTTTCAGACGTTGTTCGAAAACAGGTCCCAATGATCAACGAACAACGAGACAGTCGATTTAAATTCAACGGTATCACACCATACCCTATCTTATCAGGTCATCGCTGAAAATTGTTCATCTCTAAGCTACTTTATCAGACAAGTTAGTAAGTAAAACAACACAATAGACAAAATAAATATGAATTAAAAACGAGGTTACCGCCGATCAAAAATTCCTGATCTAAAAGAATACCATTTTCACTCATCGCGGTCTGAAATGGATCCATTTATTGTCACGGTCGTGTACATGGCTTGTTTTGAGAACAAAGTTCAATCGGATTGAGGCTAGTCTATTTTCTTTGCTTGCATATCAAAAGGAGTTCTATATCTCGATCATTTTCGAGTTGTTATCTTTTTAATATATTTTCAGAAAGTTGCTGTCCTTGTACACAGCCACTGGATTAAGAGAGCGTGGATAGGATTTGTGATAGGTGTGTACAGGAGCATTACACCTGAGCTCAATTAGGGACAGTTCAGTTCAATTTCTATCTTGAAGCTGGTTTGCAAAACGCGTGTGCACAATGTCAAATTTATCAATTAAA